ATCTCTGCCATGTGCCATCTCTGCCATGTGCCATCTCTGCCATGTGCCATCTCTGCCATGTGCCATCTCTGCCATGTGCCATCTCTGCCATGTGCCATCTCTGCCATGTGCCATCTCTGCCATGTGCCATCTCTGCCATGTGCCATCTCTGCCATGTGCCATCTCTGCCATGTGCCATCTCTGCCATGTGGCATCTCTGCCATGTGGCATCTCTGCCATGTGGCATCTCTGCCATGTGGCATCTCTGCCATGTGCCATCTCTGCCATGTGGCATCTCTGCCATGTGCCATCTCTGCCATGTGCCATCTCTGCCATGTGCCATCTCTGCCATGTGGCATCTCTGCCATGTGGCATCTCTGCCATGTGGCATCTCTGCCATGTGCCATCTCTGCCATGTGCCATCTCTGCCATGTGGCATCTCTGCCATGTGGCATCTCTGCCATGTGGCATCTCTGCCATGTGGCATCTCTGCCATGTGGCATCTCTGCCATGTGCCATCTCTGCCATGTGCCATCTCTGCCATGTGCCATCTCTGCCATGTGCCATCTCTGCCATGTGCCATCTCTGCCATGTGCCATCTCTGCCATGTGCCATCTCTGCCATGTGCCATCTCTGCCATGTGCCATCTCTGCCATGTGCCATCTCTGCCATGTGCCATCTCTGCCATGTGCCATCTCTGCCATGTGCCATCTCTGCCATGTGCCATCTCTGCCATGTGCCATCTCTGCCATGTGCCATCTCTGCCATGTGCCATCTCTGCCATGTGCCATCTCTGCCATGTGGCATCTCTGCCATGTGCCATCTCTGCCATGTGCCATCTCTGCCATGTGCCATCTCTGCCATGTGCCATCTCTGCCATGTGCCATCTCTGCCATGTGCCATCTCTGCCATGTGCCATCTCTGCCATGTGGCATCTCTGCCATGTGCCATCTCTGCCATGTGGCATCTCTGCCATGTGCCATCTCTGCCATGTGGCATCTCTGCCATGTGCCATCTCTGCCATGTGGCATCTCTGCCATGTGCCATCTCTGCCATGTGCCATCTCTGCCATGTGGCATCTCTGCCATGTGGCATCTCTGCCATGTGCCATCTCTGCCATGTGGCATCTCTGCCATGTGCCATCTCTGCCATGTGCCATCTCTGCCATGTGCCATCTCTGCCATGTGCCATCTCTGCCATGTGGCATCTCTGCCATGTGGCATCTCTGCCATGTGGCATCTCTGCCATGTGGCATCTCTGCCATGTGCCATCTCTGCCATGTGCCATCTCTGCCATGTGCCATCTCTGCCATGTGCCATCTCTGCCATGTGCCATCTCTGCCATGTGCCATCTCTGCCATGTGCCATCTCTGCCATGTGCCATCTCTGCCATGTGCCATCTCTGCCATGTGCCATCTCTGCCATGTGCCATCTCTGCCATGTGCCATCTCTGCCATGTGCCATCTCTGCCATGTGCCATCTCTGCCATGTGCCATCTCTGCCATGTGCCATCTCTGCCATGTGCCATCTCTGCCATGTGCCATCTCTGCCATGTGCCATCTCTGCCATGTGCCATCTCTGCCATGTGCCATCTCTGCCATGTGCCATCTCTGCCATGTGCCATCTCTGCCATGTGCCATCTCTGCCATGTGCCATCTCTGCCATGTGCCATCTCTGCCATGTGCCATCTCTGCCATGTGCCATCTCTGCCATGTGCCATCTCTGCCATGTGCCATCTCTGCCATGTGCCATCTCTGCCATGTGCCATCTCTGCCATGTGCCATCTCTGCCATGTGCCATCTCTGCCATGTGCCATCTCTGCCATGTGCCATCTCTGCCATGTGCCATCTCTGCCATGTGCCATCTCTGCCATGTGGCATCTCTGCCATGTGGCATCTCTGCCATGTGCCATCTCTGCCATGTGCCATCTCTGCCATGTGCCATCTCTGCCATGTGGCATCTCTGCCATGTGGCATCTCTGCCATGTGGCATCTCTGCCATGTGGCATCTCTGCCATGTGCCATCTCTGCCATGTGCCATCTCTGCCATGTGCCATCTCTGCCATGTGCCATCTCTGCCATGTGCCATCTCTGCCATGTGCCATCTCTGCCATGTGGCATCTCTGCCATGTGGCATCTCTGCCATGTGCCATCTCTGCCATGTGGCATCTCTGCCATGTGGCATCTCTGCCATGTGGCATCTCTGCCATGTGGCATCTCTGCCATGTGGCATCTCTGCCATGTGGCATCTCTGCCATGTGGCATCTCTGCCATGTGCCATCTCTGCCATGTGCCATCTCTGCCATGTGCCATCTCTGCCATGTGGCATCTCTGCCATGTGCCATCTCTGCCATGTGCCATCTCTGCCATGTGCCATCTCTGCCATGTGCCATCTCTGCCATGTGCCATCTCTGCCATGTGCCATCTCTGCCATGTGGCATCTCTGCCATGTGGCATCTCTGCCATGTGCCATCTCTGCCATGTGCCATCTCTGCCATGTGCCATCTCTGCCATGTGCCATCTCTGCCATGTGCCATCTCTGCCATGTGCCATCTCTGCCATGTGCCATCTCTGCCATGTGCCATCTCTGCCATGTGCCATCTCTGCCATGTGCCATCTCTGCCATGTGCCATCTCTGCCATGTGCCATCTCTGCCATGTGCCATCTCTGCCATGTGCCATCTCTGCCATGTGCCATCTCTGCCATGTGCCATCTCTGCCATGTGCCATCTCTGCCATGTGCCATCTCTGCCATGTGCCATCTCTGCCATGTGCCATCTCTGCCATGTGCCATCTCTGCCATGTGCCATCTCTGCCATGTGCCATCTCTGCCATGTGCCATCTCTGCCATGTGCCATCTCTGCCATGTGCCATCTCTGCCATGTGGCATCTCTGCCATGTGCCATCTCTGCCATGTGGCATCTCTGCCATGTGCCATCTCTGCCATGTGGCATCTCTGCCATGTGCCATCTCTGCCATGTGGCATCTCTGCCATGTGGCATCTCTGCCATGTGGCATCTCTGCCATGTGCCATCTCTGCCATGTGCCATCTCTGCCATGTGCCATCTCTGCCATGTGGCATCTCTGCCATGTGCCATCTCTGCCATGTGCCATCTCTGCCATGTGCCATCTCTGCCATGTGCCATCTCTGCCATGTGCCATCTCTGCCATGTGGCATCTCTGCCATGTGGCATCTCTGCCATGTGGCATCTCTGCCATGTGGCATCTCTGCCATGTGCCATCTCTGCCATGTGCCATCTCTGCCATGTGCCATCTCTGCCATGTGCCATCTCTGCCATGTGGCATCTCTGCCATGTGCCATCTCTGCCATGTGCCATCTCTGCCATGTGCCATCTCTGCCATGTGCCATCTCTGCCATGTGCCATCTCTGCCATGTGCCATCTCTGCCATGTGCCATCTCTGCCATGTGCCATCTCTGCCATGTGCCATCTCTGCCATGTGGCATCTCTGCCATGTGGCATCTCTGCCATGTGCCATCTCTGCCATGTGGCATCTCTGCCATGTGCCATCTCTGCCATGTGGCATCTCTGCCATGTGCCATCTCTGCCATGTGGCATCTCTGCCATGTGGCATCTCTGCCATGTGGCATCTCTGCCATGTGCCATCTCTGCCATGTGCCATCTCTGCCATGTGCCATCTCTGCCATGTGGCATCTCTGCCATGTGCCATCTCTGCCATGTGCCATCTCTGCCATGTGCCATCTCTGCCATGTGCCATCTCTGCCATGTGGCATCTCTGCCATGTGGCATCTCTGCCATGTGGCATCTCTGCCATGTGGCATCTCTGCCATGTGCCATCTCTGCCATGTGCCATCTCTGCCATGTGCCATCTCTGCCATGTGCCATCTCTGCCATGTGCCATCTCTGCCATGTGGCATCTCTGCCATGTGCCATCTCTGCCATGTGCCATCTCTGCCATGTGCCATCTCTGCCATGTGCCATCTCTGCCATGTGCCATCTCTGCCATGTGCCATCTCTGCCATGTGCCATCTCTGCCATGTGCCATCTCTGCCATGTGCCATCTCTGCCATGTGCCATCTCTGCCATGTGCCATCTCTGCCATGTGCCATCTCTGCCATGTGCCATCTCTGCCATGTGCCATCTCTGCCATGTGCCATCTCTGCCATGTGCCATCTCTGCCATGTGCCATCTCTGCCATGTGCCATCTCTGCCATGTGCCATCTCTGCCATGTGCCATCTCTGCCATGTGCCATCTCTGCCATGTGCCATCTCTGCCATGTGCCATCTCTGCCATGTGCCATCTCTGCCATGTGCCATCTCTGCCATGTGCCATCTCTGCCATGTGCCATCTCTGCCATGTGGCATCTCTGCCATGTGCCATCTCTGCCATGTGCCATCTCTGCCATGTGCCATCTCTGCCATGTGCCATCTCTGCCATGTGCCATCTCTGCCATGTGCCATCTCTGCCATGTGCCATCTCTGCCATGTGCCATCTCTGCCATGTGCCATCTCTGCCATGTGCCATCTCTGCCATGTGCCATCTCTGCCATGTGCCATCTCTGCCATGTGCCATCTCTGCCATGTGCCATCTCTGCCATGTGCCATCTCTGCCATGTGCCATCTCTGCCATGTGCCATCTCTGCCATGTGCCATCTCTGCCATGTGCCATCTCTGCCATGTGCCATCTCTGCCATGTGCCATCTCTGCCATGTGCCATCTCTGCCATGTGCCATCTCTGCCATGTGGCATCTCTGACATGTGAACATCATCGGTTCAGATTGTCTGTAGCAACCAGAAAGAATCCAGCAGGGCGAGAATGAACCTTAACTTAACACAAATGTGTCGTCGTGCACATGAATGAATGCACAAGAACAAGCAGAATATGGTAATTTGTTTCTACTTACATAAAACGTGGCATTCTCAACACAGATGTTGCAAATATACATCTGCATCACACACTATTATGTGTGCCTCTCAGCGCAGCTTCTGCTCTCCTGCATCTTCTAATCCATGTGTATCTAATCGTCCACCCGTCCCTCACAGCCCTTGGCCTTGTAGTGTCGGAGGACACATACGTGCCAGCTAGCGCAAGCCCCTTCTCGCGCTATGTGAGCACGGACTACCAGTGGACGGGCAGCCGTGTGAGTGCAGACTCGTGGGCCATCCGTGACTTGCACAACTGGGACGCCATCACCTTCCTCGACTGGCCCGTCAAGGATCAGCTGGACTGCAGTGAGTGGCGAGATGATGGAGATCTGATGTCCCTTTTGAAAAACTCCGCTCATGGGAGCTCCACCGGCTGTCAGGTAGTATTCCTTTTTCCCGGCGTACCCAAGTATCACGTTGCAAGCTCATCCACAGTTGTGTTTGCAATTACGCGGTTCCGTTGCAACATTACCCCACCCTCACAGAGTATGAGCACGCTGCACTTGTCTCGTATGTACTTATTCTCAGGTGCCTGTTGGGCGTATGCGCTGGTGGCGAGTGTGGAGGCGGCATACGGCATCGCGTTGAACCGAGAGGCACCCCAGCTGTCAGTGGAGTCGCTCTTTGCAGCCATGGGGATCACCGGCACAGACAAGTGTACGGCTGGAGGCTCCCCCACCGCGGCGTTTGAGACGCTCGTCACTCTTGACGACAGCAGCGGACTCACAGCAGCCAATGACACGGTATGGTCGGGCAAATGGAATGAGAGTGCATGGTAGGTGAGGGGGGGCAGGGTTATAGATTGTGTATGCATGTGCATTTCTAAGACTCAAGCACCTTCCAAAGTATATGAAATCAAGGAATAGGTGGTGAATGAAGTCTAAGACGTCAATAGGCTGGCAATCTTATGACTCCTGCTGTATATTGCTTCTTAGTTTCTGTACAGCATACAGACCTGGCCATGGCATGTGTGTGACTCTCTACCTTGCTTATCTCGTGTTCCTCTATTCGTGCCACCTGAACCCGTTTTTTGTGTTCCTAGGCAAAAACCTTTCCCGTGCAAGCATTTGAGCGGACACTCTTCAAGGGATACTTTGGCCTCATGCTGGCAGTGCGGCGGCAGCCAGTGGTGGTTCACATTGAGGCTTCCGCTGACACGTTCTTCCAGTACAATGGGGTGAGTCGTTCTTCCAGTACAATGGGGTGAGTCGCTGCAGTGTGGTGCCTCGCAGAGTCATGCGCTTTTGTAGGACGGCGCATACATCCATATGCATGCTTCATTACCAGTCATATTGACGAACCTCTGGTTTGTTTTTATTTTCCCCGGATGTATGTCTTGACCCCTTGCCTGCTATAGGCGTTCAAGTACCAGGACCCGGCATGCTACACGGGCAGTCTGAACCACGTGGTGCTGGTCGTCGGCTACCTCATCAACCGCGACGACGGCAGCCAGAAACGCATTTCCCCCCCCTCTTGGATCATCCGCAACTCGTGGGGCGTTGGGTGGGGCGACAGCGGGCACATGTATATGGACATTCAGGGAGGATATGGCGTCTGTGGCATCAACGTGCTGCCTGGCATCTACCCCATTGTCAAGAGTGAGGCATCTACTCTGTTGTTGTCAAGAGTGAGGCATTTGCTCCATTGTCAGGCACAAGACATCTACTCTCTTGTCGTCAAGAATGCGGAATGCATGCATGCATCTGCCCAGGGGTTGGCATCTAAACCATGCAAAAGCAGCAAGTCTTCTCCGGCCCCCTCCCAACCTTTCCACCCCGACGCCTGCCTTGTACAACGAGCAAACAGGGGTTGCCTCTTGATCGCTCATGGTGAGATAGAAGCACAGGAGCTTATTGCAATTGTGCACCAAAGTGGATACGTTGGTGTTAAGAGAGAGGAAGAGGGAAGTACACAGGTATCCCTTTGCACTTTGTAATCAACGTCCCAGAATGCTGTCACCAGTGGTCCTCCAGTACATTGCCAATCAACTTTGACTGGCAATCGGGGTTGTTGGCAATGCTGCACATTCAGGATGGAGGGGCAGGTTAGGAAGCCCTAAGTGACGCTAAGCTTCTATGAACCACGCATGGGTTACTAAGTTGCGAAGACACTAACACGTTTTTCCCATGGTCGTGTGCTTATATTCTAGTGTGCTTTCTCGTTCCCCTTGCAGTTTCAGAGGATCCATGCAGAAACAACAGCTACAAGGGCGACCAAGACTCCAACGGCATGAATCCTTGTGGCCGGTTTCCATGCCAGAAGACCACTGAGGGCAACAGATGTACCTGCGTGATTGGAAATGTTACTCAAGCTCTGCAACCATTTGTTGAGGTTGCCAATGGAGATGGCTCCAAAACATGTGCTTATGGTAAGACCTTGCTGATGAGTACGAAGTTCGCGCCCTCAACCTACACCTGAGGGAATGTGTCATGGGGTGGTAACCCTGCTACACCGTTGGCCTTTTCTCACATGTCTTGTCCCCATGCCTCGCTTGTCCCCATGTCCATCATCTCTCAATGTATTTTTTTTCAAATCCAATCCGTGTGGTATCCAATCCATCACCCCATTATCATTGTGGCAGTGGACGTGTGTGGGTCGTACTTCAAGAACCCCTGCTACGTGGGCGCATGCATCAACGATCTCAGCGGCTCCTACTCCTGCATCTGCCCTCCCAACCACGTTGAAAGGGTTACACTCTACGGCTTTCCCACCTGCGATCCAGGTGACGCTTCACTGGGCCAAGTTTTTTGCTTGTATAATTTCAGGTTGTCTTGTTTGACGTTTCTCGCAAATAAAGAATGAGCCATGAGGCTTTCTCCCCAGTCATACGCCTCTTCCTTTCGTGTCTGGATGCCTTTGTTTCGCTCCACTCTCTAACTACAGCGAACTCTTCAGCCACGGACATGACAGTGACTGGAGACAACTGGCAGTGCTCAGACGTGTCTGCACTTGTCGGCATCCCATTGGACACATTCCGTTCCACAAACGCGGTAATGATCGGTTCAGGAGTGACAAACCATATGGCAAAGGTCTCGTTGATCTTGCACCAACGAAAACATCCTTTTGTTTTGGTTCTGAGGAGGAGGTAGTATGTCCAGAACCCCATCGCTCGTGCTGCCTCTTCTTTATGGTTTCTTTTTCACAACGCAGGGGATAAATTGCAGCCAAGCATTGGCCAGGGGCAGTGTAGTGCAGCTGGATGGTGCTCCTGACATTCCTTGCACTGCCTTCTTCTACACCCTCAAGGTGAGACGCCGTGTTAGCCTCTTCGTTTGACTGCACGCTCCGTGGTCTCAACCAAATCGTCTAACCATGTAAAGAGCACACTATCCCATTGTAAAGTGCACAGCATCCCATTGTAAAGAACACACCATCCCATTATAACGAGCACAGCAACCAATTATATAGAGAACCACGTGCATTCTACCGTGCGTTGCCTAACCCCAGAGTGACACCTGCTCGTCCATCAGCGCGCAGCTTAGCCTGGGTGCGGGAGAGCTGGCTAAGCTCAACCCCGGCCTCAACTGTTCCTCCACTGGCCTCAAGGCAGGCCAGTCCGTGTGCATCGAGCGCAGCTCTGCCGTGGCCTACACTGTCCCTGAGTGCCTGCGCTACGGCACTCTGACAGCGCAAACCACATGCGAGGGGCTGATTCAGAAGTACATCAAGGAGACAGGCGTGAATGTCACGGGAGCGGACTGGGCTAATCTGTACCGCAACAATCCCGGCCTCACTTGCTCCAGCACCATCCCCACCAACATCCAAGTGCAGGTGAGGGTTGCGAGGTGCGAATGGTTCTTTCAAGTGAACGGGAGTGGGAGTGAGGTAGGGAATGGCTAAAGGGTGTGTGAGGGAGGGGAGGGGGGTAGGAGGGTGGCGTGGTAGAGAAGTACAAGTGGGGGTACTTCATTGGGCCACAACGCATGGAACTTGGGAATTGAGCTCCTATCAATCTGCACTCCTCACCCTTGCCTTGGTTATGTATTTCTCGTAAAGGTTCCCTTGTCAAGTTTGACGTTCATGTGTTGTGTTGCGGCAGGTCTGTCTGAGGGCAGACTATTGGTCATTCACAGCAAGCGTCGTCTGCAAAAAGGGAAAATCCAAGAAAGTGGACAAGAGCGATTCGTGCTCAACTATTTTCGCTACATGTAAATTTAAAAATAATGCAGATTTTTACGAATATAACGGCAAGAATTGCTCTGGTGATATAGGCAACAGCAAGTCGATATGTGTGCCCCATCCTCCTAGATAGATATGTATATATGATTGTTTGAGGTTTATCGGGTCGTCAGGATTTTCCAATTGCTTTGACAATGTAGGGATGAGAAAAGCCCTAACGATACCGTAAACTCCCTTGTTGGAAACAAGTGATTTCACGCTTCTGATGTGTCGGATCGGAACCGTAAACGAAGCAAACCACAACAAAGCATCAGCGAGTCAACCGAGGAGATTGACCAGGCCCCCAGAAGTCAGAGAAATTTCTCTGATTTGCCTAAAAAAGTCTGATATTCAGCCTTTTTTTTAAGTGGACTCTGAAAGTTCAGAGTTTTTTTGGCAGCAATCTCTGAATATTCAGAAAAAAAGTATAGGCCTTGTCTGAAATTTCAGACTTTTCCTCGAAGTGTACTCTGATTCCTGATCCTGTTTGGGCTCTCTGCTCCGATTGTACCTACGCGAACTCTGCACAGACAGCCGCAATTAGCGCCGGAAGGATCGTTTCGTCCTGTCAGTCACGCTGAAACAGTGACAGCACTGCTGCTGCGTGGGTGTATCGCCTCGTTTTAGGCTGATCGGTAAGCTTCACTACTATGTGAACTTTGCTCTATCAGACTTTTGTATGTTTGAACTCTGAAATTTCAGACTTTTTTTTTGTATCAAGTCTGATTGATCAGACTAAAAATGTGCACTAAGTCTGATGAATCAGACAGCTTGAAAACGAATCTGAGGGCCTGAGATTGACAAAACGTAACTGCTGGAGGTACGCGAAGGTTAAGCGGCCTTTTGACTTGACAAATACAGCGCGACAGCAAGGACAAACAACTGACTCGCTATTGAGCAGTTGCCCGAGTCGTCACTGTATCGAACCGCAACAGCAACAGTAAAACGGTTATTGCATCTTTTCAGATTCCTTGTAATCTTATAAAAGCTTGTATTACTTTTCTATAATCAATCTATCTTGCTCTCACACACTAGTGCAAGGTGGTTCAACACTTTCATTAAACGCTTCCGCATTTACAACGTTTCTGCTCAGAGTTTAGCCTTGAAAATATCCTAAGGGCTTTTCTCAGCCCAACATGGTATGAGAGCTTTCAAGGCAAAACTACACTCAGTTTCAACCCCTACAACATCAAAAGCTATGGCAACACAAAAGGAGAGAAGCTCCTCTAACGGCTCTCCCGGCACTACTCCTACTCCACCTCCAGCCTCTGGCCTACAGACAGAGGGAGGCACAGCAACGAGACCAGCTGCTGAGTCTACTAAGACTCCCGCGAACCAAGCGATAGGCTTCGACCCAAGCATGATGGAGAAATTCTTCTCCTTCATGTCCTTCTACGAGCAACACCAGCAAGCAGCACCTGCGCAGTCAAACAACAGCAACAACAACAACGATGTCACGCCCATGAGTCTCGATGGCTCATCCTACGCGCGCGGAAACCAACAACAACCTACCTTTGCTCCGTACGAGCCCCAACGTGGCTCGATCAGCTTCATGCCGCAGCCTTCACCTGGACAAGAAAAGATACCGGACGCTTCAGATTCAATCTTAATTCGCGCACGTCTTAAAACTGCAGACGTCAAGACCATTCGACCGGAAGGATTTTTATACCTGGTGATTCGAGCTTGAGCTGATGATGGAAGGCGCGCAATCCTTGGATTTTTCGACGTGTCCCTGCCATATCCAATGCACGGGACACAATACGACAAGCAGCAGTATACATATCAGTCGATGATGGCGTATACGATCCTACTACGAAACATAACGCCGAACGAGCAGCAGAACATCCGGTCTTATCGGGGATACGGCAACTCCGCCGAGCTCGCGTACAACCATCTGAAAGGCCTGTATCAAGCAACAGACAGTGTCAATCAGAGTCGTCTCATGGCACAGCTGACAACAGTGGAAATGAAACCCGGCGAAAAGGGAATGGCGTATATGTTAGTCGATGCCGCGGACTGCGCGATAGACTTCTTCGATGCGAAGGATCGATTTCCGAAGACGCCTTCGTCACAGTCGTCATCACTGGTCTTGGTCCTCATTGGCGCCCCACTCGAGCCATCCTCCGAGCCCACGGGAAGATCTCCGAAGCAGCACTCTACGTCAAAATTCACGCCGAAAAGCAAGACATGGACCTGCACGAAGAACGACACAAGAAGAGAACGTCAACACCTAAGTTTGCTTTTCACACTCAGCGGCGCTACAACAACAACAACCACCAGCAGCACAAGTATCAATCGCAACAACCCATACCTCCATTCTGTCATCTCTGCAAGATGTCAGGAGACCCTCGCACATACTGCCCAAATCGACAGCAGTCAACACCAACGCAACGTCAACTTCGGCCTTCAAGCAGTCAAGTCGCCTCGACGCAAGCGCATCTCATTGCTCAAGTGCAAACTTCAACGACTTCAACAACACAACATGCACAAGGTTCAAGAAACATCATCAGCTGCATGGCGAGAATAACCGATTCCTGCATCACCGAATCGCCACCACATTTCTCACCAGAAGAACTACTCGATGAAAGTACCCCTCGTCGCGAGACACTGGAGCCGAACCCGACGTACGCAGCCATCGCCCAGAGCGAGCCGTCCGGGAAAGACACCTGGTTCTTGGACAGCTGTTTCGGACAACATATGTGCTCCTCGGGTCCCTTCGTTCAACGGGAACATCAACTTCAGCGCGAAGGCGTCATCACCGTCGCCAACAATCAGAACCTGCGCACACGACGACAAGGCATAGTTCAACTTCAGTCACGGGAGACAAACGTCATACTACAAATGTCAAAGGTTTTAATCGCGGAGGAACTCGGCTACAACTTATTGAGTGTTAGTCAGCTGATGGCGAAAGGTATTCACCTCGAAGCAAACAACATCACTCAGGAGTTCAAGCTGTATCACGGGAGAGGAGGACTTTACATCGGGAAGGAGGTGTTGAAGAACAACGTCTTCGTTCTCGACTTTGTTCCAGACCTAGGCACCGCCGATAGCGGTGCGATCGTCAACTTCACTTCTTGGACACACCCGCCAGATCTCGACCCCGACTTCAGTCCTGGAGGCTTCTGGTATTCGCACACGAGGCAGAACGAACGAGAGCTTTAGCAACAATTCAGACAACATCGGCAGTAGCAGAGACAACATCGGCAGCAGCAGAGGCAACACCGACACCAATCGCTGGTTCTTCAACAACACTGGTATTCGTCGACGACACGCCACCAACTTCTGCGCAGCAACTGACTCCCACTTCATGAGCAGGCGTGCTCGACAAGGACTCACTGCTTCTAACCGACGGCAGAGAACTCCAGCCAGTCCTTGGAACGTGCTTCACCTGCCTTGAAGCCAACTTACTGCATCAGCTGTTCGTATCTCACCACAATCCAAGCGCACCAGCTTACGCACCTCTGGAAAAGGTGTACAGCGACATACTGTACAACCGCGAACCTGGACAAGGAGCATATAACTACGTCATCACGTTCATCGACGCCGCCACACGATACGTCTGGCACTTCAACCTCCCGAGCCGCGACGTGGCCCTTGACGCCTTCGCCGCCTGGCTTCTACCAGGAGAACGAGAATCAGGAGTGAAGCTGAAAAGCTTCCAGTCAGACGGGGGAGGGGAATATCAGTCACAGAGGTTCAAGGACTATCTGGCAGAAAGAGGCATCAAACGGCTCATCTCCCTTCCCTACGCCCATCAACAGCAAGGCGTGGCAGAAAGAATGAACAGGACTCTGCAGAACACCATGCGCAAACTGCTACGTGGCATGCGGCTACCCAACCACCAGTGGCCCGAAGCAATGGACCATGCTGTGATGCTGCACAACTTGCTCTCGTCATCATCGCTCCCGAACAACGCATCACCGCATCTGCTGTGGACAGGAAAACTGGGCAGCACAAAAATGTTGCGAGTGTTCGGCTAATATATGGTACAGTACCGACCTTTAGCTGCACGAGCCGGCCGATTCTCCCAACGCGCACAGTGGGGGCTACACCTGGGCATCGAAAAACACTACAACGCGTGGAAAATCTTCGACATCAACACAAAGGATGCGAAGATAACTCTAGCAACGGGAGCTTGACTACGGGGAAGGCACGTGTGTGAGAGGGATCTCTGCGTTCGTTCACTTGTGTGTTTTCTGCTTGCACATTCACGGGGTTTTTTGCAAGAGTTTCACTAGCAAAGATTGACAACAATGATGCACAATGATAGCAACAACGTTGGCAACACAAGTTACATCAGAGCTAGCTAGGCTGTTGGTCGACCTCCAGCGCAGCACGGTCGACCACGTTCCAGCGCAGCAATGCTCGCACCGCTCCAGCGCTGCAGGGATGCGGCGCGCCAACGTTGCATGTCCGTGGTGTGCCAACGCTTCAACAAGTCGGCTGCACAGCGTTGCACCCGCAGGACAACGGTGCACCTGCTTCGCAGGTGTGCGCGGCTGGTTGGCGTCCAACGCCCCGTCACGTGCCCAGCGCAGACATTCCCGCCCGTGACGGCGCCCATCAGCCACGTCGACCTCGGGATACCACCCCCGAGGTCGTCCTCACAGAAAACCACCCCGGCGACCGTCGCACACGTCGCCTGGGTATCCCGGTCGGCCGGGAAACCCTGCCTGGTCGTCCAGCCCAGTCGGACGCCGGCTACACCAAACCCAGCGTCCCGAGGTCGGCGTCCTGGCGTCCAGGTCGGCGTCCACTCGCCCAGGACGCCGTCCAAGCACCCAGGTTGGCGCCCAGACGCCCAGGACGCCGAGCAGACGCCCAGGTCGGCGTCCAGGCGCCCAGGACGCCGAGCAGACGCCAGGTCAGCGTCCAAGCGCCCAGGACGCCGAACAGAGGCCTAGGACGCCGTCCAGCCAGGCGCCCCCCAGCACAACGCCCTTGCAGTGGCCCCCATGCTCACTGCTGCAGATCGGCTACTTCCCCCCGCACAACCGACCACGAGGTCGGCTCCGCCCAAGCGAGGACGGGGCCAAACACCACTCCCATTGTTAAAGGAAATAGTAGCAGCACGTGATGCCATCTTCTACGAAG